CAGCTTTTCCCTCAGAGCTGAAGTCACCTCATCCCCTGTGGTGGCTTCATCCAGTTCCTTGATCTCGAGAGACCTCCTATTCACTAGAGGTGTGACCTCAGCCTCGCCATGCAGGGCCGAAGACAATTTGCGGAGGCACTCCTCCGCAAATTTTAAGGTCTCTTCGCTACGGAAGCTTCTACGCGCCACCATGCGGCACTCACTCGTGTTGTGCGGCACGTAGAGAGGAACCGGCCTGTTCGTAAGTTCCTTTATGCGTGCCTCCCTACGTGCCTAGTAGCGTTCCTAGTTGTAGCAGAAGAGTGAGTGCCGCATGGTGGCGCATAGAAGCTTCCGTACTTCGCCCTTTTTCACTATCACGAAAAACTTCTGATTGAAAGTTCTCCTGATCTTCCGGATCATGGTACCTGTATCTTCAGGTTTAACCTTTGCTTTTATCAGCAGCAAGATACCCTCATAAAACTTTGAGTTTCTGGCCGTGATTTTAACTGCTTCCGTAGATCTGAGCTTCGAAGGGGGCTTCAGGAGCTCTTTTTTCTCACCTGAGGGCTTTTTTCTTGGAGCTCTTTTCGACAACTTTAAAATCGTCCTCATCCTCTGTTCCGTTTTTTAAGACTGCATATCAAGTTTCATAACACTCCTAAAAATATCAAAAATATTCAGTCATATTGGACCAGTTATTTGCAAATTCTTAAAGTCTGACTTCAGATTTTTGAAAAAATGACCGCCATATTGAATTTTTAAAATCTGACTGCAGATCTGTAATCAGCGACCCCGAAAACCTCTAGATACCAAGTAAAGTGAAAATCCAAAAAATTTTATAAATTCGTCTGACATATTGAATTGACATTTTGGATTTTTAAAATCTGACTACCGATTAGTAAACAGCGACCTTAAAAACACCCGAGAAACAAGTTTGAAACGAATCTAATCAATTTAAAAAATATTTGTATTTTACATAAATTACATAAAATCTGACACGTTTTTTGAGGTTAAAAAAAAATCCTGATGTAATTCCCGTGTGGAAATTTGTCACGTATCTGTACCGTAATGATATAGTTTCACTAGTTGCTATCTAGTTGCGATACCGTGAAATGTTGTAGTAACTATCTTGAAATGTAACGCTACGGACATCAAGTTTCTAGATAGTTTTACTATATCCGAACAATATAGTGAAATATTATAAAGCTATAACACGGGCTCTAGTATAAATTTCATTTTTAGAAACTTGTTTAATACTTCTATATTGATTTACGGTAAATATATTTGTAAAAATTAATAATAATAATACTTAATAACATATGTACAATATAATTATATAACAATATTAACAAAGTTTATAATTATAGTATATAAACTATTGTTAATTTTTAACAATATTAAAGATTTTAAAAGGTGCAAAAATTTCATTGAATTTAAAAAAAAATTTCGATTATTCGCTTTCTTCTTTTATACCATATTTTATTTTTAACAAGTCCAGTTATTTATTTGTTATTATTTTAAATTCTAATTAAGAATTTCAACCTATACTACACTTCACATTATTAACATAAATCACTTAAATTAAGACGGAAAAATATCGCACGCACGGGGGTTCGAACCCTAGACCTTTGGGACGCAATACGAATACACATACCACACAGCCACGCTGACTTGGAAGATGTGTTGCTTAAAATACCTTTTCAGTTTCGCGACTGCAATTTTTGCCTTTATTTATAATAAATTGTTTGTAAATGGTATATTTAAATCTATATACTTAATAACAAATTACAATATGTAAATAATAATAGGGGAGAGTGGGGCAAAGGCGCTATGCGGGGTAAAGACGTTTTTTAAAATATCTCCTTAATTTTCTGTCTATTTCAATTGGTATTAAAAATTTAGTTGCAATGCAATCAGACCAATTGATTAAAAAAATAAAAACCTAAAAATATCAAATATTTTAAGAAATATAACAAAAAAATTGTTTTGCAAAAATAAATTGATAATTTTACTGAACAAACTTTTATTTTTTAAAGCATAAGTTTAAGTATTTAATTTTTAAAAACGTAACATGTAAATAAATTAAATATTTCTCTACACAACTGGCGTGGTGTTTTAGTTTAATTTTGTATTTAAATATTTTTAATTTAAAGTAAAAAAAAAGTTTGTTATGTGGGGCAAAGGCAATATTGAATATAATTTGTTTAAAAACAATTGAATATTCGAATTTTTCTATATATTTATCGTATTTATTCACAATATAAGGTTAAAATCACTAAAAGTTTTTATTTTTTATTTAAATAGTTTAATTCTTTTAATAATATGTTGTTAACCTTATGTTTCGTAAATATTATACTAATAAATATCACTTGTTAATTTTTTAAGGCTTATAAATTCTTTCTTTTAGAAATATAAGGGAAAACGTCGCTGCCTCAGCGTGTGGGGCAAAGGCATTTTTTGCAATGTTTTTAAATTTCATTAAATAATGTATTTATAATTATAATTATAATATACTAAATAACAACTATTAAAATTTATTGTTGATTAGTTTTAGAATAATGAAAAACAAAGACCGCATAAATTAATTGCTTAATTTAAAAAATATAGATCGATAAATGTAAACCTAGCGCCTTTGCCCCACTCTCCCCTAATAATATTATAAACATAAAGAAATTACTTGCAGATTATGATTGTGAAGTTTCACTAGGCAGAATTGATCTAGATCTACAATATGAAGTAGTTAATGTAGTGAAACTATACAAATTCTAGACCGTATCCCAATGTAAAGCAGTTGTAGTGAAACTATACAGATTCTAGAACGTATTCCAATGTAAAGCAGTTAATGTAGTGAAACTATACAGAATCTAGACCATTTCGGTATAGTTTTACGTGGCCAGCTTTGCGAGATGTTTGCGGTACAGTTTCTATCTCGTATATAATTTAACCAGACACTTTTCTGCACGGGAATGGAGCAAATGTGACTTCGGATTCGTGTTCTGCGTATCAAAATACATTGGGTATTTCGCGCAGTGTACATTTTTGGTGGGGCTAAATATGAATATATGTTATGCATTTTTTATCGCATTCCTCGAAAAATGTAATTTTTCTTTTAAATTTCAAATTAATTATTCAAATTAAATCTTTGAAAATTTGAATTTTTCATACTTTTAACGGACAATTCTGTAGGATTAATTTTTTTGAAAGAGTTAAATTGAATTTTTTGTGAAATTATTTGAAGTTTTTATTTTCTAATATATATTTAATTGATGAATTTGCGAATAATCGAAGTTTCGTAAAATTGAATTGTAAAGAAATGAATTTGAAAATTGTCAAAGAACTTTTTCAAACATTATTAAAAATAATCCATTTAAAGAAAAATGTTAGTTAAAAATTCTAGGAAATAATAATAATATAATAATAAAAAAACCTATTCCTGGTATTCGGCTTTATTGATTTGTGATGTATATGCTTAATCCTTTTATCATAGCTGAATCTTGAGTTGCAAAAGTGTAATACCAAAAGAGCCTGAATCTGTGCATCCGATTTTTAATACTACGTTTGCGTGTTACTGTTACAATTGAAGCCAAATATTTTCACAAGAGAAGCATACTAGAAATTCAGGACAAGTAAATATTTTAGTGTCTTAACACTTATGTGTTGAGTCTGATTTCGTACCACAACGAAATATTCTTTAATTATTTTCAAAGCTATTGCTTATAGAATATTTTACTCCCATAGATATTTTTTAAGACAAAATCAATTTTATGTATTACATGTACACTACCGTCCACGAGTATCAGGACGATTACACGCCACTCTATAAAAAAACATGCCATCACTTTTTCAATCATATCTCGGAAATAAAAGGAGGTACAAAAAAATCTCAAATACGGTTTGAAATCTGATTATATTTTGCGTAAAATAAGCCATCTTTGAAGTCATTTCGTTAATTATTTTTTAAGTTGTAGAGTGAGAAAGAAATAAAAAAAATTATCAAATTTTTCAAAAATCTAGAAAAATTTAGATACACTAGAATCCCGCTTATCCGAGGTAATGTGGGGAAGGGGCACCTCGGATAAGCGAAAACTTTCGAGTTTCTTTATATTACTCGTGAAACATCATTATTTATTATTCCCCAGCATAAATCCGTCCTTGTTTCCTCTCCCATTCGCAGCCACGTGTAGCTAGAATCGAGTCGTCACAGTTAAATTCCAATGCACCAATCGTCAAAACACGGCTTCTTCACAGTTTTAATGATATATCGAAGACGGATTAACCTTTTTTAAATTTCGAAGGCTTATTTTAAAGCTGAAATTCTAACAAAGATTTCTGTGTTTTTAAAAAACTTTTATCTAAATTTTTCTAGATTTTTGAAAAAGTTGAAGTCAAGAGACAAAAATGAGAAAATTTGATAATTTTTTTTATTTCTTTCTCACTCTGCAACTTAAAAAATAATTAACGAAATGACTTCAAAGATGGCTTATTTTACGCAAAATGTAATCAGCTTTCAAACCGTATTTGAGATTTTTTTGTACCTCCTTTTATTTCCGAGATATGATAGAAAGAGTGAAGGCATGTTTTTTCATAGAGTCGCTTATGATCGTCCTGATACTCGTGGACGGTAGTGTATAATATGAATTTCTTAAAAAGAAAAAAGTATGCCGAGAGATGCACTCTCACTAACAGTTCCTGCTTTTCAACATTTAAATTTTGCTCCAATTTTTTTAACGTTCTGCAGGTGGAAAATTGAGTTGTGAACGCTTTTCCGCCTGCATCTTAATCGACCGTATTTAATTTTGTTATGCGAGTTAACAAAACGAATGTCAATTCGACAAAACTGCAACATATTTTACCGACATGGCATGTAACAGAATTACTTTAGAATGTAGCAGTATCAATTCTGTTGTATGTCAGATCGGTAATCGGTAATAATTAGAGAAATGTCTTTGAAAATTCATTTTTGAGTTGTCAAGTTTCGAAAACTCAATTTGTAACTTTTTAAATGATTTCTTTTCCAGAATGATAGTACGGCACCACCTTCGCCAGCAAATTCCTTAGCAGTATCGGATACGGAATTTTCATCGCCTGCTACAAGCACTCTCATCAGCACGCCTTTGAGAACTATTAGGGTCGATCTAGGGACTCCAGTTTTGCAAAGTTTGTCGCCATACAATCGCCTTCCTTCATCAGAGAAATTTTCCAAGAACATCTGTGATGTTATAAATTTTGAAAATCTGCCAGATGCCACCGGCAAGTACGAGCAAATGACAGGACTTATACAAAAAGTCAGAACTAAAATGGCTACAATACACAAAGATTAATAGCATTAAATTTCCCACTAGATTTGTAAATAAATTTCTAAAAATTATAGTAAACAGATTTTAGTAATTTTTCTAATTTTTTAATGTAATAATTTTTCTGTTTTTCGTTTTTCTGCAACTTTATAATAAATTGAAATTATTTTGCATTTATATAAATTAAAAGTTTTTGGTTTTCGAGTCTCAACAGGGACTGAAATCTTTAGTATTAAATCTTTATTTACTAATAAAATTTTTTAAATTGAATCAATATCTAATCTAACTCAATATATAATCTTTTCTTAATTCACTAATTGTCAGTGATAAAACTGAAATTTTTTAAACTTTATTAAGTTGATAATAGAAGGCCCAATAAAGAAAAAGACAAATGAGAACAGAAGATGATTGCGCTCCAATGAAAATATTTTTTGCAATCTTTAAAAGTAGATTTCCTGAAAAAAATTAAAGTGGGCTGAAGTTTTTGAAAATTTCTAATGGAATCGCTCCCATATGTATCATAATTTTGCTTCCTCATGAGGAAGCTTTGCATTCGTGACGATTTTCAATTTTGCAAAAGAACGTTATATGAATTCACTTTCATCTAGAATATGTATTAATATATTTCATATAATAAATCATGATTTTCCTTTAAAAACAAATGTCAGAAAATTAACAAATCTACCGTTTGAAAGCTATAACATTCTATGTTAAATGGTGTAAAATTCGAAATTTTTAGAAATCACACAAAGATTTTAACAATCGACAAATCTAAAAAAATTAAACAATGAAAGTTTTTTTTTTGACAATTTTTTAAACTCTTATATTTTTTAAAAATTGCAGACAAAATTAAAAACTTATTTAGGTGTCATCCTTCAAGTCTCATCTTTAATTTAAGACCAAGAAAGATAAAAAATCTTATTGGGTTCTCGAGATACCATTATAAATGTCAGAGCATGTTTTTGGACAAATGCATTGAATTAGTCAATTTACTTTACGGATCTGGGATAGCAAATTTAAATTTGGTAAGCTCTAAGTCTAATTAAAAAACATTTCACACTAAATCTGAATGAACCGTACTTAAATTTTAACTGCGTTTTTCTCAAATAGCGATATACATGAAAATTAGAAATTTTTAAAAATTGTCATCTGCCATATTGGATACGCTGTCGTACCAGTCTTCGAAGGGTTTCAGTTTTTACAAATACATTTAACAGGGTGTCTACCAACCTGTAAATAGCCGGGAATTTAATTTGATTGTGAAAAATTATTATTTTTTTTACTGTCAAATTAGTTATTTTTAACTCATCAAATTCAAATTCTGAGAACAGTATTTGTCAATTTGTAGTACTGCAGACGCATAAGCGTTTGTATAGTACTTTAATTAATGTGTTAAGAATTAATCCTAAATTTCCATCTGTTTTTAGAGTTAAAGTAGAGTCTAATTGGAACTAATTGTATCGCAATTAGACAAAGTTGGGAATTTTGTTAAACAAAATGACTGGAAATCGAAAGAAACCACAAATTAAAAAACCTTGCTAAAGTGAATGTTTAGTTATTATGTTTAGACGTTAACATAAGAATGTTTGCTTTTATAAATAAAATTGTTACTTAAAACAATATTTTAATCAGTTCTGCAGAATTTTAAATTATTAAAAAATTTTATAAGTCAAGGAAGAAGAAAAACTTAATCAAAGAAAAGTCAGGGAATTTTTTAATATTGAAAACATTTTTACACTTACATCTTAGTTATAGAATAACTAAATAACATGTAATACTCAATTGTAGAGAGTTTAAAAGCAAACCATTAAAAAAAAATTTAATTTGGAAATTTTCGATTTTTTGAAAAAATTAAATATCTCACGTACTAATTAATATTTTTCAAATCTAAATTTATGAACCTATCTTGGGTCAAGATCCAACAATTTGACAAATTTGGTTTCAAATGGTTTAGCTGTTCTTAAGTGATTCGCGAACAAAGATTCTGTGACATACATACACACATACATACATACATGAAATTTTTTATTCGTATATTTGGATTCCTGAATTATATACGAAATTTAAAGTTTTAAACAATGTACAGACAAAAGTCTGATGATGAACAAGTTGTTCAATTTATGACCATTTTGCTTTCTCAATATAATAAAAATGTTTTTCTTAAAAAAGCAAACTGTTTTCCAATCATTGGTGAAATGAAAGTTTTATGCCAATTGCTAAATTTTTTTATAGAATAATTGAGGGCGTGGAACGGATAACTGCCTGCAACGCATGGTCGAAAGGGACTATACCAGTCCAGTCAGAAAAGAAAAAAAATGTTAAAAAAATTTGAGATGCAAAAGCAAAATTGCTTTTGCATCTCAAATTTTTTTTAACATTTTTTTTCTTTTAGTACTCTTTGACATGAGCTACCTTGATTTTTTCAAATTTTTTCATAAAGCGGTTCAGGAGATACAGATTTTTACGTAAATTTTTTTTAAATGCTTATGACTCGGTCAAAAATTGATCAAATTGGACGTTTTTATAATGAAAAGTTTTGTTTTCACACGTAGTTTTTAATAAAAATATTTTTAAAAATTTTTTAAATAATTTACGATAAGATTTTTAAAATAAAATTTCATTTTTAACAATGTATGTATCGATCAATTTTTTTCAAAATTTTTTGTAAGAAACTAACACTAAATTAACAATTTTTAAGCCTTGTCCGATCGTGGGAAAACGATGGGATCTATTTATTTTTAAATTTTTATATACGCAGTGGTGGCCAAATGCCTAGCTTGCCATTTGAAAAAATCACACAAATTTTCCACAGCAAATGTGTTTTCAAACTGAGTCTCTCCAAACTTCACCTTCTTTCTGTGTAAAATTGTGATTTGGTCAAGTGTCAAGTTAGACCTACCGTTTTCACTATGTGTATATAAAAATTAAAAATTTCAAAATAAATAGATCCCATCGTTTTCCCACGATCGGACAAGGCTAAAAAATTGTTATCTTAGTGCTAGTTTCTTACAAAAATTTTGAATTACTATTAATTAATACATTTTAGAAAATGAACAATTCTTTATAGCATTAAAAAGTAGGGCGTTGTCGGCAGTGTATAGCAAGACACTGCGATATTTCAAACAGCTGAGTGACAGTGCAGAAAAGGCATTTCTGGTGTAAGAGTAAGGTTCTATTAGGTATGTTTTCGTTGCCTGCACTAAGTGTAACTTTTACACCACCTCAAGAGTAGGTGCAGAAAGTGTAGCGAAATGTATGGTAAAATTGCGTCACATCCGGCAAAGAGAACAGAATAGTGCAGGTTAGGTGTTAAAGTGTAAGAAGTGCAGGCAACGAGAACATACCTATTCTGTTGAAGCTTTTTTATATCATACACACTTTCTGGACGTAAAACACTATAATGCTGGCAATAGTTTTAAAGTTTTATTCTTCGTAAGAAAAAGTGTTTATAAAATTAAACTTTTCAAAATTTTGTGAACGACAAATGCTTTAATTTATTAGTATGTAAGATTCCTTCAAAATTCCTAGAGCATTAGACATAGTAGTGCGATAGACACAATTGTAGATCGTTATTATATCTGTGGAAGGCGGCTAAGTTTTATATAAGTTGAAATACTTCTATTATAATAGGAGAATAAAAAGATATAATAAAGTTCAGATCTTTATTATTAAAAATATTGTGCAGGAATGTACAATTTTCAGACGATTTTTATATATTGAAGCAGATCTAATTTGTTGTAAGCATACAAATTTAAAATTCTATAAAATTTTTATACATTTATTGCACGATGCAAGTCAAATTATATTATTTAATTTGCTTACAATAAAAATTGCTTTAAATATTTTTCTTTTCAATACATTTTTTTACATTTTAAATTGACCCTTTATTAAAATTTTTTATACCCTTTTAATAAAATTAAAAAAAATGTTTGAAGAAATGATGCAGAAATAATTATCCACAAACAAGAAAAGGAAAATCTTTTTCAAAAAGTTTGGTTTACTTGAATATAAGACTTGTCGACTTTATAAAACGACAAATCAAATCAACCTTCTAAAAATAATAATTAATTTTATTCTGTGTGGTAAATATATAATTTATATAAAATTAATAAAGGAAAGACCTTGGATTAAAACTTAATTTTTTAGAAACTAATATTACTTAATTATTATAATTATTAAAGGCGATTTGAAAAAAATGAACTGAAATCATCCCAGCCCCAGAAAGTTTACATACAATATTGATAATGTGTTAAAATTATATAATAAAATTTGAGCTTTTAAAATTATTAATTTCTTTTTACAGTAAAATTCCTACTTTTGGAATGATTTTCTTTACAAATTTTGCATTTTTACTGGCAAAGTAATATAATAATGAAACTATCAATTATCAAATTTTATATCATTTATATCACAGTATTTTCTTTAAAAAGTCTTATATGTTTTCTGAAGTTTTTTTCTGTTCTTTCAAATGCAGAAAAAAATTTTTGAAAAAATTCAAAATTTGGCCCTGTTTTTTGAAAATGAAAAATTTTTTTGCCTTGATAAATTTTAACCCATATATATTTTATGAAAATAGATAATTTCATACATCAATTCATTACATTGAAGATTGAATCACCAAAACTTTTCGAAACTAACTGAAAAAATAAACGAACAATTTTTATAAATTTCAATAATTGACAATTTCATTTCAGCAATTAAATAATTCCAGAATTATTTAGTAGTAGTTGTAGTAGTAGTAGTAGTAGTAGTAGTAGTAGTGTAGTAATATTAACTGTCGTTAATTCAACAATTTCTTTAATTAATAATAATAATATCGAAATCATTAAAAAATTTCAGGAAGACTAGTCCAATTAATACTGGATTTTCATATTCTAAAATCACATAAAACAATTTCAATTTTTAAAAAATGGTTAAAATAAAACAAAAGAAAAATTGAATATTTTAGTGTCATTTTCTGTAATAATGACTTAATTAAAAAAAAAGTTGAAATTTTTCTCTATTTACAAATCTTGATAAACGATGCAATATCAAATTTACAAATTTTCATTAGCAAAATATCTTTTGAAGATATGTTTTTGTTAAAAATATTTAATGAAAAATTTATCAAAAAACTTGTTATTTTTCTATATATCTTTCGTTTTTTTGGTTGAAATTAGAAATTTTTAATTTCCAGCCTCCAGAAGTATTGCTAAAGTAATACTTCTTAAATATTTGTGTCCATTGGTGTCCCAGTCAAATGCAAATTTATTGATTGTTAGTTTAATCGTTGAGCAAATATATCAAACATTTAAACTTCAATCAAAATCCTCGACAAACGCCAATTTTTGTCCTTAGTGAATTGGTGGAGGTGCGGGAGGATCGTCATTTGAGTCCTACAATATTTTTTCAAAAGAAATTTAAAAATTATTAAAATTAGAGAAAAAAAGGAAAAGCCAGAGCCAAACTTCGAACAAGATAAAATATAGAAGGAAGGTGAAAAGGAGAAAAATTTGAAAATTTTGAAATTTGCTTTCTCTTAGTTTAGTGGATTAAAGATCTATTCAAAACCTTTGACGAAATCAGTTTTTATTGAATATTTTGAATGTAACGAAATCTCAAAAAACGCGAGACCCAAAAGTTTTTTAGCGCAATGTTCAATGTATGGTTTTTAGGGTTTCGTGGCCAAGGGCCAAAACCCTTATAGCGAGACTTCGGTGTCCGTCCGTAGTTCTTAAGTTTTAAGTCTTAATACAACATAACTACCGTTGCCATGGCAACCATTGCTATGTTAATGGTTGACATAACAACCGTTGCTATGTTAATGGTTGCCATGGCAACCGTTACTATGATAATAAAAAAAATTTTCAATCTTAAGTACAAAAAAAATTTCTAAATAAATTATTATTTATTTTTTTTTGTCATTTCCCGTGTAGAAACTTAACCATGGCCCTAATCGGGGCCAGATCTTTTGATCATTCTGTAGGCCATAACATGGCAATTTCTACACGGGTTTAGGCCACGAAACCCTATGATATAGGCGCATTGCGCCTGCTTCTCTGACTGATTTTTTAATTTGTAGGATCAGTTTTTTTGACAAGATATCTGCAAAAAAATGTTTAAAAAACAGTTTATTTTATTTATTTTAAAACAAGAGAAAGTTTCAATTCACCCAGACAATTTTATTTCTCCCGGAATTGTTATTTTCTCTTAAATTAAAAAAAAAATTTTTAACTAAAACGGCTTTACATGCTTACGTAAAAAGGTTTAAATTAAAGAAATTTACAATAATTAAATGTTTTTATCAATTTTCTTGAAATTGACAGTGGAATAAAAAAGAGTGTAACTAAAAAGTAAAAAGAGTGTATAACTCTCCCGACCTTACTCTATAATAGTTCTTATGAGAAAACCAAAGGAATCTATAAAATTAAAAGATACAATAATAATTATAATAATTAACCATTATAAAACGAAAGTGGATTTTAAATACAGAGTTTTGCAACAATTAGAAACCTTTTTAAATTATTTAAATAAAAAATAAAACTAACTCTACAAATTAAACTAATCTAGTGATAAGAATAGAGAACTATACGTAGAGATCAGACATCTTTTTGCCAATGATTGTTTACTAGAAATTACAAATAATTCCTTTAAATTTAATATAACCCACATAGCACAATACCTTGCTGTAAGCTTCCCTTGAGCCTACTAGCGATCTTTGTGAAGTTCGTCAGTAAACTCAAGGTAACCATTGTAGGATCATTGTAAGCTTACACCTTAAGGTCAACGTAAGCTTACATGTAAGATTACATCGAAGGCTCACTGCAAGCTTACAAGTAACCTTTCTGTTTTATTTAATATAAAATATTAATTTTTTAACAACTTAATTTTTGTTAGCTATAGTATAAAGATCAAAGATTAGGTTCAAAAAATGTATTGCGCATCGATAAAAGAATCGATTAAAGAAAACTACTGTGCACAACTTATTCTTTTAGGGTTCATACCACTTTACACGCCTGAAACTTAGCTTTTTTGTAGAATTTTTTTACGATCCCTGTAGATTTTATTGATCTGGGGTAAGTCCGGGGGAGATGGCCAGTTCAAATATTTTACAGAATTTGTAAATAAATATCACTTAGGGATCATCCATAAACCACGTAGCTCCGATTTTTTAACTTTTCGACCCCTCCCCTCCCCCACGTAGCTTAACGTAGCATATTACCGAACCCCCTCCCCCCCTACTTAATGGAACGTAGCTTTTTTCTTTTTTTGAATATTAAAATCTCTTTTCTAAAAATAATCAATAAAATCGTATTGAAACATAGTAAACAATATTAAATGTTTTTAAATCACAGTTTATTTTTTTCTTTTGACAAGTAAGACAAGACAAGACAAGACTAATTCTTAATTTTAATCAATATATATATATATATATATATATATTATATATTTAATATTTAATTATATATTATATATTATATATTTAATATATATTTATTTATATATTTATATATATATTATTAAATATGTATATTTTTTCATCACTATATATATACATATATATATATTTATAGTATATTTATTCCACATGAAAAGGGCCTATATTGTCGGTTCTAGTTTTCGAGATAATCGCAATTTAGTAATTTTGGAGCAAAATCTTAATTTTTAAAAATTTTTTATTATCAATCTACATGTTTTAACAAGTCGAATTATGCGGTTTTCATTAATTTATCGATAATTTAACTGTTTGATTTCATTGGTTCTTTAGAAAAATGAAAAAGGCCCATTTTGGCGGTCATTTGCAAAAGTAATCCGTATTTTAAAAAATGGTGGTGTGGAAAAAATTTTAAATCTCTTGATTTTTCATCTTTAAGGTGTCCTGGACTGTAAACAATTCTTATCTGAATAACTTTCCAGAAGAACCAGTGATATTGATGTTAGAGTCTTTTTTTCGTAATTGTCGAAATGAAAATTTGGATATTACGTTAATTTTTTCATAATAGAAACTGTCAAAAATTTTTAAATAAGTTATCTAATATCTATTCTTTTTCTTCAAATGACACAATAAAATTGTACCTAATCATTAATCTTGTAAAAAAATGGTTCTTTAATAGAAAAACTGTCCTTTTTAGAAAAAAAAAGTTTTTCGTATTTTCAAAATTAAGAGGGGGGGATGGTTTTAAAAATTTAAAACCTGTTGGTTTTTTATCTTCAAGGTAACCGTTTTTCTCGAAATGAGGTTTTTGGCGTTCTAAACTTTTAAATTCCGTAACTCAGCGAATTTTTAACCAAAAAAGTTCTAAGACCACTCAAAATTTTCCAAATTTTGCCAGGAATACGCCCATATAGATAACTCCAATAGTGCCAAAATGGGCCCTTTTCATGTGGACGTCCACATATATCTCTGAAATTGACTTTCGAGCTGCCCGCGTAATTTCAAAAAAATGTATGTCAAATAAAAATACAAAGCTACGTTGCTCAGACTCAAAACCCTCCCTCCCCCCATGTGGTCTAACGTAGCACATTACCGAACCTTCTCCCCCCCCCCCAAAGCAGGCTACGTGGTTTATGGATGGTCCCTTATTATGGGCTATTCTTCAACCTTTTGTGACTACTAATAAATGTAAACAACAAATTGTTGAAAAATAATGAAAATGTAAGCGTAATCCTTCTACATTTTTCTTGCATGGGTCCAAAATAATTTGAGAATTTCAGATTTCTTATTGCTGTAATGTTATTTTTTAACGGATTTTTTAATTTTAAGTTTTATTGAGTAGTGCATAACCCACGCTTCGTTATAAACAAAAAATGAAAGGAAAAATTATTTTATTTATTTAATATTTTGCTGATGTTTACTTTTGTATAATGCACTTTTTACAAAATGTAAATTTCGAGATTGTTCCTATGAAAATATTTTATTTTATTTTTCGTTACTTTAAAGTTAAGTGCTTAATGTTTAATTATCAATAAAAGTTTAGACGTAAATCGCATATTTATAATTTTTACAGTACTTTAAAAAAACTATGGCCATCTCCCCCGCACTTACCCTAGATCTTTTTTAGTTCCATAACAAAATGGGAGCAGTTCACTGACGAACTTGACGAATATCGCTAGTAAGCCCAAGGGAAGCTTACAACAAGATAATATGCTGTGTAGGAAGATTTAACGATGTATGGAGGAATAATAATAATTTAGAAAATCTTGACATGAATCGTCTACTTCTATGAATGAAATGCAGACTATTTAAAATGAGAGAAAAGAAAAGTAAAAAGGAATAAATAAAATGAAAAGAATTTTTGAATAGTAAAATGTGAAAATCAAGGCGACTCACAGATCTATCACGAGAGACTTTCATTTTATCTTGTTGCTTCCGTCTGAGAGATTTTGGCCTCAATGCGAATATAATAATCATCACTCCAAGCATCACAAACAACATAAAGAAATTGTCGCTTGGTGAATTTGACGGTCCAGGCACTAAAATTATAAAGTATAAAATTCTTAATTCATTAAAAAAATAGTGCTGAAACTTTCACAACCTTCTTTAGAAAAGAATTTCATCCTTCTTAGTCTTCTATTTATTAAAATGTGTAAATTTATTATTTAAAATATACGTACACCTCGAAACGGAAAGACATTCATTGTCAGTGCAGTAACCCTGATTTTGCCGCAACTAAAAAATAAATTGAATAACACGTTATAAATTAAAAATAAAATTATCCCATAAAATCGAAAATAAATAAAGGATAAGTAATGAGGTTAAAAAAATAAAATATTAATAATAAAAATAACAAATGTGAAAAAAATTTCGCAATTCGCGAAACAAAAAAAATTTGTTTCACAATTCGTTACGTAATAAGAAATACAGTTATATTACAAAACAGTGATTTAAATAAACAATCTGTATTTGTTAACTTGGTGATGATGTTTTAAAAAACTTTATATCAATTTTATAAGTAAAATACATAAAAAATAATTATCGCGTGCTCTAAATAATACATATTTTCTCTTCTCGACTTACAAACGATAAAAGACGTTGCATTGCTAAATGATGATTAAACATGCATTCGCATGGATCAAAATCCTCATTGCTCATTGTTATTGATTTCCTTTTTCTACAAGATGCAAACTGCAAAAAATATAATACTATAATTATAAGCAAGTGTCAGACAAATAATACAACTTCACATTTTTATGTTTTTAAATAAAAAATCAGATAAGTGCGTGTACACGAAAAACCGCGTAAAAAAATAAATTTTCGACATTTTCAAAAAATCCTAGTACCGGCAACAGCCGCAACCTCACAAATTATAATGCAATTTTATTTTTCGATTTTTGATCAGTCAATCAGTTAGGATCGTGTTCACTAATATATGTGACGCGACACGAGAAAAGGGACCTATCGCCGCAAAAGAGAATTTTACAGGGAGAGCGTTTAAAGCGACGCCATGCGCAGAAAACCCGTGTATTTACGCGTACATGCTTAACTTTCGGGCTTTATATTATTAACACTATTTAAGTTTTTCAACTTTTGATTTTTTCACGTGAAAGAGCAAAGAATAATCTGTCGAATAGCACCATAATCTCAAAATCGATTTTTTTAACGATAGGTCCCTTTTCTCGTGTCGCGACACATATAGCTTTCTTATGATTATCATCAATTTCCAGTACTAAAATTCGGAATCACTAAAATATTTTTACTTGAGAATTTGTTGTTAAAATGTTACTAAATATGTACATTCGTTGAGTTACAGAATTTCAAAGTTCAGAATGCCAAAAACCTCATTTAGAGAAAACCGAAATTAAAGACCAATAACAATAAGATTACACGGAGAAAACTGGAGTATTGGGACAAACAGACTATATTTGAGGTTAAGTTTTTCGTAACCATCTCGGAGGGATAAATAGACACTCCGATGATTAATTTGACTAACTCGGAGGGAAAAGTTAACTATCCAGAGAATCAGGCTTAACACTCAAAACCTAACCCTCTAAGTTTGACTATCCAGTTTTCTCAGTGTAACAACAATATCTTTGGTTCTTCTGGAAAGTTATTCAAATGAGAATTTTTATTAATTCAGGACAGCTTTAAGATTTTAATATTAAAGGAAGAAGTTAACAATCTATCCGAATCATTTCTCACTTTTTCTGAGTTCTTTGATAATTTTGAAATTATTAATTGATTTCGAAAAATATTTTTCTGAAAAATCAGGTTTCTGAATTATTTTAAAAGGATGGCTGTGCTGTCGATATACATGAAATCATGTCCACGTATTATCTTTATTTAGTTTAATTTTTGTCGAAGCTAATTTATTTAGAAAAGTTAATTCTTGTTTTTATTAAGGGAGGATCCTACTTTATATTATTAAAATAGCGCTTTTCTAAGAATTTTTTTAAAAAGGAAAAAATTAACTTAGACCTCCGGGCTTTTTGGGATGTTTTTGTATATATTTGAAGTATTTTTAAGCATTTTTTTGACATAAAATATTAAAAAGAAGACAAGTTAAAATTAATTGTTGACGATGGTGCACTTCTTGACTTAAACAGTGGACACTGTAGAGAGCGCAATTCTTGTCAGAAATATAAAATCAAAGAAAAATTTTTAATTTCACATATGTAGTTTCTATTTGAACTGAAAAAATTTAAAAGAAATGGTGAAATTCTAATATTTTGATTGATAAAACAAAAAAATAATTTTTTTTGAAAAAAATAATGACTTTAATTGGTTGTCAAAATTGTTAAAAATTTTTTCGAAATTTTTTTAGTTTAAGTAGAAGAGGGATTAATACTGAGTAAAACAAGCCGTCATTCATTAAATTCGGTCAAGGCGTTTTCTGTCATTTCTGCCCACCAGTATTTTACAGCTAAGGTTTCAACCTAAGCTCGGGGTTATTTGACAACCATATTCGTTTGGTTTGGTTTGCACTCGCCAAAAATCAATAAAAAACTTAAAAAACACTTAAGATTGGTCTTTAAAACTTTAGGTAGGGTGATTTGGGGTGATGTGAAACATTGGGGACCATTGCAACACCGCCGATTTCTGATCTACAGTTCGATATTGAACATTTATTTTATAGATAAGAATGTGTTTATTGTTGGTTTTTTAAGTGTTTTTAAATATCTGTTTATATTTTGTGTTTCCATTGCATTGTATTGCGTACAAATCATTTTTCGCAAAATATCATATTTGGGGTGATGTGCAACACTTTTTTTCGGGGTGGACATAACTACTTTTTACGTGACATAACTGCGATTCACATGATGAATAAAAAATTCTTAGTTATTTTCCTTTAATTACATTCCTTATTCAGTTATGAATAAATAAAAAATTAAACAAAAAAATTTTTTTTTCTTTGGTGAAATCTCCACTTTTTATAGGTCAACTATACCTTAGTAAATTTTTTTGGCAGATTTCGATTAGTTTGCATTGAAAAAGCCTAAAATTAATAATTAAAGAGATTTTCATCGATATTTATGCATTACATACATGAATTTTACTGGTGTTGCACATCACCCCAACTTTTTTGGAAAATACAAAAAACAGACGTTTTTGAAAAAGCGAAAAATTTGTAGAAAAAATTTAAAATTCTGAAAATCTAATAATGTAGGAATATTCTATTATAATGCCTCTAAGTCATTCAATTTGGAAATATTTAAAAATTTAATTATTTGACATGTTTTTCGTCTAACGAAAAAAAACGTTGCACATCACCCCATATCACCCTACATATTCTTGGATATATTTCCTGCAGATAAGCAAAAAACATTTATTTTTTCAACCATGTAAAGTAGGACCCCCCCTTAAAGAATAGAGAAATTGTTATTTGTAAACATAGAAGAAATATTTAAAAAATAACATTTTTATAAACCGCTTTGATATTATATTTATTTAAACACTTTCTAGACAATACGAAAATGATGAACAGGTTTCCCCTTAACTATTTGGCTTGAAATTAAATTAAAAATCTAATTAGGAAGTTATAAATAAAAATAACATAAGAGAACATAAAGGACATGAAATTTCATATGCTATGTGGAGAACCACTCATATATTTTAATTAATAAAATTTTATATTACATAAATATTAGTAGTATTAGTTTAACAAGTAAAAATGTTAATAGGGGTCGTCCATATACCACGTGGACACTTTTTAGACACTTTTTGACCCCCCCCGTCCCCCTCGTGGACAATCGTGGATTTTTGACGAACCCCTCTCCCCCCCTGATTGTCCACGTGAACAATCGGGTTTTTTATTTTAAAATAGTGAATAATAAAAAGATAATTAATAAGAAATACAATTAAAAAATTCCTTAAATTTTTTTATAACAAACTTCTTTAAAATTCAATAAAGATTAAATTATCTTAAAATATTATTAAATAGGTAAATACCATTTTTAGTATTATGGAGAGGACTTTGGCAGCAATATATCTTCAATTATTATATTAGTATCATGGGATTCTGTAAAAACTTTACTTTCTTCAATTATAAACTCTGTGACACTGTACGATGCGGAAACATGGGCCGCCTGCGATATTTTGACGAAATAGACACTGTACAGATCAAATTTTTAAAAGGACTATAAAATTGGCCAAAAAATACACCTACTAATTTTGTACTGTTAGAAACAGGATCTCTTCCAACTAGATTTGAAGTAGTGAAGCGTGCAATGCGCTGGTGGATTCGCATTTTGAAAATGTCAAATGATCGTTTGCCAAAAAAGTGCTATAATAGATTATATGAATTGGATAAAGAAGTAGAATAGGCTTTCAGTATAACTGGGTCTCGCAGATCAGGGCACTCTTCGAACAAGTTGGACTTTTGCATTTATGGCAAAAGCAGGATTCTTATAACAATAATAATATTCAGGAAACTTCCCAGATGGTGTTAACCGCCTGGGAAAATAATCTAAGAAGTTCAATAATTGAAAAATGTATTAATTCTGCTTACAACCCCATCTATAGACATATAAGCCAACTAAATTCAATTGAAAAATATTTAACTTTTAAAATGTCTATTCATAAAACTCGAGTGATCGGCCAATTGAGGATAGCATATATAAAGAGAATAAAAATTTCGTTTCATGGTAATAACTACATCTTAGATACTTCTGAAATTTGTTCCCTGTGCAATCTCAATCAGCTGGAATCTCTGAGTCATTTTCTACTGTATTGCCCGATATATACAGCTAGTAGAAATAAGTTTCTTAAGAATTATATATCCTGTAACCCTGCTTTAGACGAGACTCAGGCTTTACAAGATATCCTATGTGTTAAATCCATGAAACAAATGAATGATATATATTATTTTACAAGTAATGCCTTAAAATTGCGATCATTTATAATAAACGAGTGAAAACTGTATGAATTTAATTCATTTATGCGCTTGAATGTCGGATGGACTGGAATCTTTGTAACAATATTTATATTTATACAAATAAAATTATATCTATCTATCTATCTATCTATCTATCTATTATATTAGTAGAAATACTTAATCTCTTCGGTAACAAATCTTAAATTTTCTAAAATCCAATAGCTTTAAGCCTTCACATAAACAATAATAAAAATGATTTTTTTTAGAATTTGTAAGAGTTTGTAGAGGTTGCTTTGTATTCCTAATTGTCAAATTTGCATACATTCATATTTGTGCATTTATACGATAATGATTTTGTAATATAAATTAAAAAACAATTTGGCGTTTTTTTGACAGTTAAATAAATTTCGGATTACAAATATTGTCTGATCACAATCTAATAATAATCTAATAATAAAGTTGAATAAAAAGAAAAAAAAGATATAAAATTAAACTTTTGTATTGACATTTGTATTGACCCCCCCCCCTCCCCCTCGTGGAAAATCGTGGATTTTTGGCGAATGCCCCCTCCCCCCTAAACTGTCCACGTGGTATATGGACGACCCCATATGAAACTTTGTATAATTTAAAAAAAATATTATTTAAAAATAAAGAACTGAAAACTGCAGTAAATTCTTTTCTTGTAGATTAAGTTATGTTTTATTAAAAATAAAATTTTGTTTATCTTATCACATTTCAACGTGGCAGGAATACGTATATGTGACCTGGTCTATGAAAAAGGACCTTACGTGCGAAAACAGCAGTTAAAGTTTAACTTAGAAAAACCCTTGTAACTTTTTTTAATATTAATATTTTTTAATCAAGTTAGGCTTATTTTTTTCACCGTGGATCACAGTATCAAAATAAAAAACATACAATTAATGAAATTTTTTTAAATAATTGTTTATATAAATTAATAACAAACTCCCCAAATATAGAAAAAATAATCTAAGTTTTCTAAATAGCAACAATAAGTATAAATAAGCGACACATGTTTGTAAGGGTTTTCGAGGCCGCTGATTACGAATATGATATCAAATTTGAATTTTAACTGTTGACAGTTGTCAAAGAAACTGTCAACTTTTCTAAATAATAATTAATTATCGTCTTCGTTATTTTAATTTGTATAATAACAAAAAAAAATCAGTTTTTTCGTATTTTAACCCTTGTTTCTTTTGACTTTAAAAAAATTTTTAAGAAACTTCTAATCACCTTATGACTTTTTGGTTTTCACCATCTTAAAGGTATGTGTTTTCTTACAATATAAATAACAATAATATTTTTACCATATTCTTTTACAGTATGTTATATTAGAAAAAAAAGTTCGAGACCCAGAGGACAGACCTCTATATTCCTACGTTTTTGGGTCGCTGAAACAAATTTATTGTTTTCAGTCTTTATTCCCGTGTTACTTACGATATTTTTTATTCCTAATGCACAAAAGCGTCGACTTAGATAGCAGACGACAGACGACCCAGCGCTAGAATAACGCATGGGAACAGCTAGTATTTTTGCCGTAGGGTAAAATTGAACGCCATTTTCATACGATCGAACACAGGCTCGGCAGATCATTGAAGTTAGGAAATTCGGTAGGGAATCGTAATTATTACTATAATATTTTGATTCCCTACCGAATTTCCTAATCTATTAACCGAATTTTTTGCTCAATGCAAAAACTGCACTGCGCTTTGAATTTTCTGGAATAAAAGTATCAAAGAACTTTTATGTATTTATTAGAAAAACGCCGTTGAATTCCGGGTGCGGGTACAACTACCCAACCTACCCACGTTATCTGACAGGCCTGGTCGAACAAATGAATGACTTTACGCCCTGTGGTCATAGTTATCTAAAAGCGTCATTTTTGTGCATGTGGGATAAAAAAATTTCGTTCTCTCCTTCACCTGCTAGAACTCCTTTACTACCCCTAAGGAAGATTTGAAATATTCGGTTTTAGGAAAAGTTGTGCACCTTATTCGACTCTTCCTGAAAATTTAAATTCCAACCCCCTCCCGGGGGTAGTCCTCTTCTTCACACCCTGCTGAAGAAGAGGACGAACTCGTTTTTGGTGGTTTTTTTCGACTCTAGCGATCCAAAAATCATGGGAAAAAACACCCTACTCTACTTTTTTTAAAAACTGAAATGCGAACCCCCTCACTCCCGTGAGGAGGTGTAAGGGGGTGGTAGCGGAAAAATGGACAATTAAAAAAAATTTAATTGTCATATTCTGTTTCAGCGTCCCCAAAAACGTAGGAATATAGGGGTCTGACCCTAAAAATCTCATAACCTAGAGGTTATGAAATTTTTTTCGTGTGTGCTTGTGTTATTTTTATTATTATTATATTGTTATTATTTTATTTAATATTGGAATAGTAGGTAAAAAAATTTTTTTTACACGAATACAACGAATACAATCAATATTATTTAATATTAATATATAATATTAATATCTATTATATATTATTATTAACAATTCTAAAACAGTAGCAAACTACCGTCCTTTTTATATGATGTTTCTATTCATATTAGTTATATATACTACACTTGAAAATTTGTAAAAATAATTGATTCTAAGAAATTCGAAAATCGACAGATTCCACTTTGCTTCAACTCTCTACGATTTTTATTACCTGCTTTGAGAGCTTTCAAAGTCAGGAGCCTCTAATTTTTGTGCCGACAGTAGTATGGTTTTGATGTTTTGTGAGAACTTTAACAGCTTCTACTTCATCAAATATCACAGAATTCAAATTTTTTAATTGTGAACTTCAATTAGTTAAATTAAAGAAATTTCAAGTTATAATATTTTTGTAACCCACAGGATATTGAGCTCATTTTGTCCTCTCGACTTCGTAATATAAAAAGTTAGAATCTGCAACATTTCACGATTGTAAATATCTAAAATCTATATTATTAAAAAACCTTTATTTACCATATTGAAAAACACGTGTAAATACACGTATTTGTATGCCTTATAATAGGCGAGACTAGGTGCGGTAGTTACGCTGTGCAGTTGTTACAAATGGAATATCTCAGAAACAGTTAGTTATAGAGATGGGGTTCCAAAGAGAAAAATGTTTAGTTTTTATGTACGAACTTACTGCAATATGTTTAAAAATGATATGCAAGCTTTACAAGTAAAAAAATAGGCACATTGGTTTTTAGAGATCAAAAGTAAATATTTCTCTGCCTGATATTTTTTAAATAATTAATAGACCTTTATACTTAACAAAGTAAATTTTTTTAATATCAATTCTATGAGGATTAAGCTTTAAAAAACTGCCTTGGTTGTCCACATTTAGTGTATACTTTTTTAATAAAGTGTTTTATTGTAAAAAATGTAAACCGACAGATTAGTTCGGTCGGATAAATGCCTGGCTCGGTGGGCAGACCAAGGGTACTTGGTTCGCGCCCATTAGCCTGGGATTTTTCCGGCACGTGAGATAATCTGAGCGGGAGGTTTGACGTCGAAGTATAATGATGTGCACCGTCGATTATTGTCCGGTACACACTATTAGAATTCGACTGTCAAAGCATACATTCTTCTTAAGGAAATTTCTTTTTGATGCAGCAAGATATATTCATAAATTAAGGTATTAGTCGCGCAGTTGGCTCTGGTCAAAAATTTACCGGGCCGCTTACTAGAGTGGGGCAGTGAGAGTGAGAGAGATAGTTTAACTCCCCACTCTATTCGTTCGTATGAAAATTCATATAATTTAGTTATTTTTCTAACTTTCTGTCAATATATTTATAGTTTGGCGCGGTAAAAAAATGTCATGTTTTTTTTATTTATTTGTTTCATCTCATTGAATACTTTGGTAGTTTTATTTCAAAATCTGACGATTAGTTATCATATAAATAATTATTAAACAAAATCAATACGTGCATTGGGTGCTCCCTCCATGCAAAATGTATGAACTTTGAATTCATTTTTTGAAGCTTTGAAACGGTCAAAATTAATGAAATTGGTCTCATTCTGTAGATAAATACTTCAGGAATAAGTATGCAAAATTTGAAAAAAATCTGACGAAAACCATTTCACGCGACTAATACCTTAAATGTAATTATATTGCGGTTTGCAAACTTTTGCAATTCGAAATGATTCGAATTTTCTGTTGTCGAGTCGATTAATGTTCGGTTCGACTCGATTAAATGCACACCTCTATTTATCATATGCAAATTGCTTCTTTTTTTATGATAGAATAATCATTTAAAAATATTAATATTAAATAAATTATGAAAAAATACAAAATTTGAATTTTTTGTGAAAAAGAAAAATTTCTATTAATTTTATAAATTTTGATAAAAAATATACTTTGTATACATCAATCGATTCGTTTTCTTGTCAGGAATGTAATTTTGAGAATAATTAATTAAAATATTAACAAATAAAAAAATTATTTACAAAAATACAAAAAAAATTTTTTTTGAATTTAAAAAAAATTGTATAAAAATTTTTTTTTTTAGATATTTTTGAAAATCCTTGTGTCAGATTTTAGGTATTAATGACTGCAATAAACCTGCAAAATTTCAAGACAATCCATCAAAATTTGTTTGAGATAATTTGTACACAATTTTTGTGACACACACACACACACACACACACATCTGGACATTTGCTCAGAATTGAATATACATATGTTATAGATGAAAATGAGTCCATATAACCTTCTTTTGAAAAATTGAAAATCGTCACGAATGCAAAGCTTCCTTATGAGGAAGCAATAAATAAAAAAATATTTGTAAAAAATGTACCTGTTGTGCAGTTGTTACAAGTGATAATGAGAACGGATATTTTTTCCAAAATTCAGCAGATTCTTTTGAAATGTAAATTATTTGTCAAAAATGTAATCACACTCATTTTTTATGAAAAATCTCATGGTTTTTCTAAATTCGTCTCCAAAATTAATGAAAAAAAAACTTTTTTAAGTTTCTTTCATTTCGAAACAATATTAATGCTGCCATCTCTATGGAACTGTCACGTACTATTAGGTTGAGCCAAAAATTATAAATAATTAATAAAAATGGTTATAAAAAATTATTTGTCTTCAATTTAGACATTTTATAGATGATTTCAGGTATTGTAACAACCGACATTTACTTTGTGCAGTTGTTACAATTTACACGCTGTCACTCAAATGCTTGTAGTTAATTAAATAATAGATATAGAGCTAAATTAATTATGGCCTTTTAAAATTAGATAATATACCTTTGATTTAATCGTTTGACCAAACAAATTGGAGTTAAACTCTAATCACAGTACCTAACTGTTTTTATCAAAATTGTAACAACTGCACCTAGTCTCCCCTACATACATTTTCAATATTTACATATACAAAAATTTGTATTATATTCTGGCTTCCCAGGTGCGATTTTTTGGTCGGCCCATAGTTGGGCCAACTTTTACAAAGTCGGTCCAACTTCTCGTGCCAGAGGTTGGGCCAACCATACAGATGATAACGGCGACCGTCTAATGGCGACGATGGTTGGCCCGACAACTCATAAGGAAGTTGGCCCAACTTACAATGCATATGCTGTGCCAACTATACATTTCAATGGTTAGTCCAAAGACTGACGCCAAAGTTGGCACAACTTTAGATGCGTAAGTTGGGCCAACCACAATTTTCAAAGTTTGGCCAACTTCAACAGCCAAAGGTAAAAAATTATTAAAAAACTACATTATTTAAACAATTAACACGTTATTATTAGCGGGAACATCAGATATAACCTTTACCTATTATTATTAAACACAATCTCATACATACATTTTCGAAAATATCTATCGCTCGCTGGGATCGAACCCCTAACCTAACGCACCGAAGACTTATACACTGACCACTACGCTACGTTCACATGGGAGTGCATAACGCAAAATGTATATTTAAGCTGCAACAGTCGGGCCAACCGTGGCCCAGAGTTCGGCCAACCAAGAAAGTTTAAGTCATTTAAACCGCATTTGACAAAGCTTTGCCAACCGTTGGGCCAACCGTGGCCCAGAGTTCGGCCAACCAAGAAAAATCAAGTCAATTAAACTGCGTTTCACAGAGTTTTGCCAACCGTGGCCCAGAGTTCGGCCAACCAAGAAAGTTTAAGTCAATTAAACTGCGTTTCACATAGTTTTGCCAACCGTGGCCCAGAGTTCGGCCAACCAAAATAATGTAAGTCAATTAAACTGTGTTTTACAAAGTTTTGCCCACCGTCGGGCCAACCGTGGCGCAAAGTTCGGCCAACCAAGAAAGTTTAAGTCATTTAAACTGCGTTTCTAGAGTTTTGCCAACCGTTGGGCCAACCGTTGCCCAGAGTTCGGCCAACCAAGAAAAATCAAGTCAATTAAACTGCGTTTCACAGAGTTTTGCCAACCGTTGGGCCAACCGTGGCCCAGAGTTCGGCCAACCAAGAAAGTTTAAGTCATTTAAACTGCGTTTCTAGAGTTTTGCCAACCGTTGGGCCAACCGTGGCCCAGAGTTCGGCCAACCAAGAAAGTTTAAGTCAATTAAACTGCGTTTCACATAGTTTTGCCAACCGTCGGGCCAACCGTGGCCCAGAGTTCGGCCAACCAAAATAATGTAAGTCAATTAAACTGTGTTTCACATAGTTTTGCCAACCGTGGCCCAGAGTTCGGCCAACCGAAACTGAAAGTCTTTTAAACTACGTTTGGATAAGTTGTGCCAACCTTTGTCGCCAAAGTTGGCCCGACGGATGGTTAAACTCTGCATTTAATGGTTGGCTTGCAAAGTCGGGCCAACTGTGGGCACAATTACTTGCCAAAGTTGGGCAAACTCTGGCAACCAAAACTTTGCTTGCCAAAGTTAGGCCAACCTTGGGCCAACCTTCAAACTCTGGCGGCCAACCTAAATTCGCACCTGGGTTATTGATACATTTTGACGTAACGCAATATTACTCATAAAAAGGTCATTACGGGGTCTCTTATCCGGTAGGTCGAAAAATAGATCACATTTGACCTAAATTAGTGACGTAACGCAATGTTACTCATAAAGGGGACATTACAGGGTCTCTGTTGGTCCATAATGTAACATAAATTTTGACCTAGGGTACCGAACCCCTGGAACCCCTCTTTTGAATTGTAGGTTAAAAAACAGGTCAAATTGAACCTAAATTTTGATTTAGGATATCGACCGTTTGGAGGGCCCAAGTGGGGTCTCTTTTTGACCTGTGGGTTAAGAAATAGGTCAAATTTAACCTAACTTCAGAGGGTATGAGGCCATTTGAAGCCAATTTCAGAGCACTGAATCCGGCGGCGAAATCTTTTTATTTTATATACAGAGAAGAGAAGAAGAGATTAATTAAAATATCTTTTTATAATCGCTGTGACGAAGACGTTCCTTGTGTAAGTATTTTATTTTATAATTTAAATATCTTTTATCGTTTCTGAAGAAAACAGCCATGCTGTCGAAACGTCAAAAAAACATCTCTTGTTTCTATTATTTCCAATTTGACTCAGAATGATCGTTAATATCACATTTTTATTTATAAAATGTAATTATAATATGGTACCGTCGAACTGGGCTAATATTGTGCACCAAATAGCTATTTTTTGACTCAACGATTTGTTAAAATTCATAATTAAAAGAAAAAAGAAAATCAACTATTGATATATGTTGTGGACATCTTTTTGAAGGAGTCCTATGAGTTGGGCAATAAAAAGAAATTTTTTATCTGAGTTGTAGTTCGAACTTTGTCTTTTCATAATGTTCTATAAAAATATTTTTTATCGTTCCTGCTTTATTAAATCTTTTTTGTAGATATTCCAGAGTAAATTAAAAAAAGAAAGAGCTATTAAATTTGTTGATAGATATTAAACAACAAAATGTAAAATAAAACACTAAGATTTCACTTACTATAAACCTTATT